TCAAATAATCAAAGTGGGTTATTAGAATTTTTCTATTTTGGATAGAAGAGGATTTCCTCATAGCAATCTGGAAAAGAAGAAGTAGCGTAGCTGTATTGTGGCCATTTCTTCATAAAGGTATCAGAGATACTTAGGAAGAGAATGCATCTTTGCTTTATAATTGTGTATTTTAGCAATTTGGGAAGATGAAATTTTAGTTCCCTATTGTACACGTGAAAATTGTTTATATGAACTTGAATTTTTTAGGTGGTGAAATTGCTTCAACTTTTGATCATCCAGAACTAGTAAAGTTAGGAAGCTGCAAGCTGATTGAAGAGGTCATGATTGGTGAAGATAAACTTATTCATTTCTCTGGAGTTGCTATGGGTAAGATGGATTAAGCAATCCTATTCTCCAGTTATTCCTAAACCACTAAATGTTGGACACAACAGTCCTACTCCAATTATTTATAAGCTACTACTACTACTGTGTATTTGATCAGACCAAAATAGTAGGGAAGCTATCCAAAATTAAAAATAACAAGAGAATGTAAAACTAATGCCTGATCATATGTGTGAGAACCAGTGAATTCACACTGATAAGCCATACTTTCATAACACCTCTACATCATTACATACATGAATCATATTATTGTATTTCTGGTCTGTTGGCTGCAGTGGAGCTGGTAAGCTCAGTAGTAAGGAAGAGACAGTGCATGCCACACATTCTGTAGAACTGTTAATCATTAGATGCTCCACCCCATATCTGTTCAGAAAGGGCTGTATATGCTGAGATTTGGTCTTCCTAAATAATACAGTATTTATGAAATTATTATGTAACGTAAAAGTCAGTTAGACGGTGAGCGTCAGGCTTGCTACAAGTAACTTTTGAACTAGTCGTTATGTATCAGCTAATATTCTGAACCACATTTTTTTTAAGATTCTTTAAATTTACATATCTTTCCCTTTTTTGATCCTTAGGTGAAGCTTGCACCATAGTCTTACGTGGTGCAACACAGCAAATCATAGATGAAGCTGAAAGGTCTCTGCATGATGCCCTCTGTGTTCTTGCCCAGACCGTCAAAGATACTAGAACTGTATATGGTGGAGGTGAATATTCAAACTTTGTAATCTATGTTATCTTCAATGCAGAGATTCTTAGGTATTTGCTCAAATTGGCTAAGGTTTGGTTTTTCACATTTCCAGGCTGTTCAGAGATGTTAATGGCTAATGCAGTGTGGGAGCTTGCAAAAAGAACCCCTGGCAAAGAAGCGTTAGCAATGGAGTCTTTTGCTAAGGCTCTAAGTACGGTAAGCTCCTGTCCAGTTAATGCTATTAGAAGTAAATATATAAAGCTAAAAGATATGGAAAAGACTGGCACTATTGTTTGCTTCCTCCCCTCCCCAGTTTTTTTTGTTTGTTTGTTTTTGCTGGCTATTGAGTGTTGTATTGTAACTTTAGATCATTAGAGTATTGTAACTCTCTGAAGAAATCAGCATTCTGCTTTGTGGGATGAGTTATTTCTCCCTTGAGTCTTGACAAATTTGTTATTAATGGTTAATATTCTGAACCATTTCTCTGCCAAGAAGCCATCAAAACAATGTACAGTAAATAATGTAAAAGGCCAAATTAAAAGTAATATGTCTGGAAACGGAGTAACACTGTAATTGATCCTGTGTCCCAGTTAGCAGCCTAGCTGTGATTGAAAATATTTAAATGTGAATGAGCGAAATTGAGATTTGTTGCAGGGTATCTTATGTGTGAATTAACTTTTGTAGCTGTTTGGTAATGTGACAGGTTTATTTTTCAAATACTCCTTTAACAAAGACCTTATCTTTCCAGCTTCCAACTATCATAGCTGAAAATGCTGGGTATGATAGTGCAGATCTGGTTTCCCAACTTCGAGCTGCCCACAGTGAAGGAAAAAATACTTATGGACTTGGTAAATTTATGTTTTTAATAAAGTCTTAGTGCAGGAGTGGGAAGAACAACAATGGGTATCTGCTGGTAAACTGTGGTTTTTACACCCCATTGTTTAAAAACGAAACTCTTAAAATATTCTCTTTCCCTGCACCCACCCCCAAATTAAATTGCTGTAGAAATTTCATTGGAAAATATTGTGAGTTCAGTTCTAATACTAATCCCAAATACAACTTGGTATCTTCTATGTGCTTTGAACTTTGGCTTCATATAGGCCTAGGAAACATGGCCATGGCAAAAAATTATGGAAGCTTAGTACAAAACTTCAAATGTCTCTGCTGAAGTCTCATTTCTGGGCTGATTGTGAACTCAGAGACACAGTCCTCAATTCTAAATGGATGTCCAAGTGCTTCCTCTCCAGTTCACCAAGTAGCTAGATCCATAAGCTTATAATATGGCTGGCCTTAATAATCATTCATTGTGTAGTTGAAAACTGCAACAGCAACAAAAATGTAATAGTCAATAATTCTCCATAATCTCTTGAAGATATGAAAGAGGCCGCCATTGCAGACATGGCAAGTCTAGGAGTCGTTGAAAGCTTTCAAGTGAAACGTCAGGTTTTGCTCAGTGCTGCTGAAGCAGCAGAAGTCATTCTCCGTGTTGATGACATCATTAAAGCCGCGCCAAGGTAAAGTGCAGCTTTTCCAGCACTTAAGGATTGAGCTAACTGAAAATAAAATATTTTACAATGGGTTTCAGTGGTTTTCAGGCAGAATGTTTTTCTAATTACTGTCTTGACCTCTGAGGGCAACAGGGAGCAGGACATAGATGCAGTGGTATCACCAGAGATGGGCTGAAATTGTTGGCTGTTGGGAGGAGTTGAAGAGAATTAGTTGGGTTAATCTGTGGAGACTCAATATGTCTGTCAATTGTGGTTTAAAAACTGATTTAAAAAGGCCAGCAATTACTCTCATTTGATGATATGACCTAAGGTGGTTGGAATTCAGTGATATGATCTAGGGTGATTGGAAGGGATGCCAGAACAGGACAAATATATTTTTGATTGTCAACCCATGATTTACAGTTTAAAAATTGCACACATAGCTTCAGTATTTATTTTATGATTCAGTGTTACTAGGTAGTATGAGTAAATACTTCTTAAGTAAACCTTAAATTGAGTTTTATAATTAAGTTGGGCATTTTGAGTAGAGAAATACTGTCCTGCCCTCTAGTATCTGCTTGTGCTAAATTCTGCTGCTTCTTTCAGGAAACGAGTACCAGATCGTTACCCTTGTTGAGCGTTCTGCATTCAGGAAGAACATGCGGATCAGAGGTTTTCAGATTGTGTTGTACTTCTAGCAGATTACAGAAGGATTGGCATGTTTAGCACTGGTGCATAAGTGTTTTGGTTTAACTTATATTGTTTTTTTAAAAACACCCAATTCATTGTACAACATCTGTATTCCTTCACTGTTCCTTTTGTGTAGTACTCACAATAAACATTTCAAATAGAAATATATTAATATTTTATTTTCCTATCATTCCATTGAATGTGCACTTAAACCTGGAAAAGTGTGAAAAAGCAGATTACTCAAAACATTTGTAGAAGGTGGCTTATAAGCAGAGATCAGTATCATTATTTTGAAATGAAAAGATTGCATTTTATGTTTAGTACTGCATTTAGGAATATTCATCAGCTCCCATCAGCCTCCGCCATATGGCCAGTAATAAGGAGTTATAGAAGTTACAATTGAAAACCAGGAAAGCATCAGGTTGCCTGTCCTTACATTAATAAAGACAAGCTATTGCAGTAGATTTACTTTATGTACTAGCAAGTGCAAAGTAATTTGGACCCTAATTAGCATGTGCACTCACAGATAAGCCAAGAATTTTAGTTGCCAAATACACCCAAAAAATTGGGTTCGGCTTACCCATGGATGGGCTTATTTGCAAGTATATATGGTAATACTTTTTTTAAAGTACCCGTATATCCCGTATATACTTGTGTGTAAGCCCATCCACAGACTCTTGAATTTTTAACCAAAATACCATGAAAAATGTGCCATCCGCGGATAAGCCAACTTTCAAAACATGAAAATTTTGAGGGCTTGGCTTTCAAATTCACTTTATTGATACACTTTCTTTAGAATTCTGGAGGTAGATTTGTTCGTTGGAGCAAATGATAGTTTCTTTTTTTATATATAAATTTTTATTATGTTTTCAAAAAAAGTTAAAATACAGAAAAATCAAGAAAAAGGAAGGGGAAAAAAGGGGGGAAGGGGGCAGAAGAAAGAAGGAGTAGCTTCCAACTTTCCTTGGTACAGGTATAGGTACAGAATATATTCATCACTTTCTCTAATATCTAAAAGTTTACATAGTAAAAAATAGTTTTTAATATTAAAAAAGATTCCTAAAATCAATGTGTTTGGATAATACATATAATTAGTACAAGATACTTCTATAAGTATAACATCAACCAGCAAATCCCAAAATCAAAGTTGGATTTTTTTGAGTATCAAGCAAAAAGTCCAAGAGTGGTTTCCAATTGGAGACAAAGTGAGACAGTGCCCTGTCTTTTGAGGAGAGCAGTGAGTTTTGCCATCTC